AATGCCCCCCCCCACCCCACCCCCACCCCCACCCCCACCTCCACCCCCACCGCAAGCACAGGGAAAAGGTCCAGGCCCTGCCTCTCCTGAGCAGCCAAGACTCTTGGCAAGCCCTGCCCGGGGCTCTCCCCCCAAACAGCTGGAGAGCACCTCCCATGCAGACGGCAGTAATGGCGAACTTTTACTACACATGATCAGCCAGCACGGACGCTTACCCTTTGCCCTTGGCCTTCTCCATGCTGAAGATGACCTACGGCTGGGGTGAACGCACCCGAGCTGAAATAAGAGTGGGGGCCCAGCCAGTCTCCAGAAGCACCCAGGCCATCGCTCTTCTGGCCACCTGCCCAGCCCCTCTTGCCTGCTCTCTGCTGAACACGGGCCTTGGTTCATCTCCGTGGTCAACGTGCTTTGAAAGGCATAACAAAACCAGCTCACGAGCTCCACGCCACGTGTGCATGGAATGGAAATGGCCAGAACAGAACAGGGCAGCGCCATTTCCTAAACACCACTTCTGGACCTCAGTCACCCGAAACCCCTTACCACCCAAGGAACGAGGAGCCTGGAGAGAACGAATTCTGAGAGCAGAAGAGCCTTAGGTGTTGGACTGCACGTGTACCGTGCAACTTTCCAACAAATTAACATAAAATTTCTAACTTTCTACCCCAATTCAGTTGGCCTAGAACAGCTCATCCAACGCTACACCATAAACGCCAATGGCACCTCAACAGGAAACAAGGATGCCGTCACATTTTTGAGAGTAATTTTGAAGTATACTACACAACTAGGTGTTTTTAAATACATTATCATAATATTAACATAATAAGCAATGAAAGAAAATTATCCATTGTTTGCTAACAGTTATGCTAAAGAGATGCAGCGAGTAGAAAATAAGACATGCCTACAATTAAAAAAAAAGATTATTTCTGTCTTCATTCAAAACTGTCTCTTACTATTTTCATCACCCTGTATGAATAAATAATAATTAGCAAAATTAAACTTAAATATTCAGAAAGCATATGCAGGTGGTGCCTAAATCTCTTGGTGAATGAATGAATGAATGAGTGAACTTCACGAACACCCGAGTTTTCACCTCCTCAATACACTCACACTTAACTCACAGTCACACTCACACTCACACACTCTCCCAGCAGAACCGGGCAGCCTTAACTACTAACAAAGGAACACATGTAAGTTCACACATGCTACCAACCCTCACCGTGGGATTACAACCTGTGTGTATGGGGTGAGAGTACAGCCATCAGAAAAGTGCCACCAAGATGACTGTTTATCAGATACAACATGTTTTCACGGAATATTTTTGTTAATCTTACTTACGAAAGAAGTTTACCTCCGAAATCTCCTTAACTCATCAAATCAATGTGCTTTGATATTTTGCAATCATAATGCACTTGGGACTTGGGTTATCATCATGGAGCATTTTAAAAAGGAAAAGGTGCCATTTTAGGCTCTAGCACATTCCCTGCCCTGTTAAGCTACAAAAGCTACAACTGGTGTGGTGAATCTAA